CCCGCCCCGTCGGTCTCACCACGTCCACCACCTCCCGCTGCCGAAGCGCCTTCTGCTTCCCCTTCGGGCTCTCCGAGGCGCCGGGCGGCGGGGCCGCCGCCAGCAGCAGCGCCAGGAGCAGCAGCAGCGGGACGGCCGGGGTGCGGGACACGGTGCGGGACACGGTGCGGGGCATGGCGGGGGGGTGGATGCGCCGGGGCCGAGGAGGAGGACGGAGCCCGTCTCCGCCGCTCTGGGCGGCAGCGCGGGGATAAATGAGCCTTTCAGAGCGCGGAGCCCGAGCTCCCTCCCCGGGGAGGCCGGGAATTTCCATCCTGTAACCGAGCGGGAACGTCCAGGCAGAGCCCCCCCGCCTCGTCGTCCCCCCCCCCGCAGCCATTGGGCACGGGGGGCTCCCCCCACCTCGGGCCAGCCCCCGCCGAGCTCGCCCCGGGCGATGCCGGCACCGCAGGGTCGCCCTCCGCCCCCCTCGGGGGGGCCTCCCCCAAACCTGCAACAATTGGCGAAGTGGAAACACCTGGAAGAGCTGGTTTTGCCCAGGAATCTCCGCACGTCGCAGCCGGAGCCTGATGCCCCGGGAGTGGGAGCAGTGATTAAATAGCAGCTGGGGGTTAATCACGGGTTGTGTTTGTAAGGACAAGGTAAAGATGCAAAATCCTGCTGAGCAGCAGCAGAATTTGGACTTTCATCGAAGTATTGCCTTTCAGAACACTGTCCATTCAATAACAAAAGAAAAGACCTTGGCAACGCAGCATAAACCGTCTCCTTTTGCTTTCAGTTAAAATAATGGGATTTTTTTCATCATACAAGAAATGAAAACACTGTAAAATAAAGAATGCCCTATGTCCTTAAGCATTAAAAATAGAAACAACAAATACTTGAGAGGTAACTTCTGTACGTTGCAATCTCTGTGGGATTTGTAGAGGTAGAGTTTCCAGAAGGGGGAGATAAGATTCAATACATATTTTTTTCTGAAGTATTTAACAAAAGCACACATTTCTGCTGGAGGAATGCATGTTACAAGATGTTGAGCCATTCACACCAGACCACGCAGAACCAGCTTTTTGTTTACATTAAACCCATTAGTATTGGTCTGACTGCAGTTACCTCTGCACTTCAAGCTCCTTCTGTCTTTCTCCCCTTTCCACGTCCACTCTGGTGGAACCCCAGCAGTGAGGTGAGGTTTGCACCAACGGGTCAGGCTGCTGCCATCAACGCTGTCACACGCTGTCCTGAGAACAGGCCACTTGGCTGAGGTGTGGGCTCCTGCCCTGTGGAGAACAACCAGGTGCGATACAACCAGGTGACATTGTAAAACAAGCTAGTAAATAATAACAGTTCCCTAAACCCATTGGGCAAATGTATGGAATTATGTAAGTCCTTAATTATAGCAATTGCTTCTATGACAGTCCTAGTGAACACACACGTGCAGAGGGTTCATTGCCCCGTTGCGTGCCGCTGTCAGCAAACCCTCCCGCCTCTGCTCCCTGTTGGTGGTGGTACCGTGGAGAAGGGAATGTTGGACTTCTCTGGATCATGAGTGTTCACACAAGCATGGCTACCAAGTGGCTGGGGGTCCCCAGCATCAATACAGGCCGTTGCCAAGGCATGTCCCTTCCCAGGCTGCCCAACTTTGGTCCTAGAGGATTAACTTCAGGAGATGTGCAATAGCTGGAGCACACAGCAAGGCACCACCGTACTCCTTCCTAGTGCAATTACTCACTATTTCAGATAACAACATTTGCACGTACATCCATATGCATTTCCCCACCTGGGTTTGCTCCCCACGAGAGTTTGGGTCTGGGCTGGAAGCTTTTAAATCCCAAATGGCTGGTTTTGCCATGGTAAGCAAACTGGGGAGCGCTTCAAAAGAAGGTCTTACCAAATAATGGTGGGACATCTGCCTTGAGCTCCCCTAAGTGCACTGTGCAGTTCCCAGTGCTCATTTGACTTGCAATGTGCATGACCATCTGGAAAACAGAAACATCAACATCCTCCTTAGCCTGCTTCAGTCCGAGCGAGCCCTGCCATCTGCTCGGCTTATGTTCTGTGGGCTTTGATGTGTTTAAATGCTTCTAAGGGCAGCAACTGTTGTTGAATGCTGGTGAGATACTCGAATCAGAACTACTGATCTATTTTGCCTTAAATATTTTCTGGACAAAAGGAGCTGTTGTAATAAACTTGCCTGAGTGTGTTCAAACCAGGATCCATATTATATCAACTAGTGATTCCTTCATCTTACCCATACTGCCGTATGAAACAGAATTTGTCTTTTTTATATGGCTTTACAAATGTATCAGCCAAGATGATGAGGTCATTTAAGTGTCACTAAAATCTTCCACAAGATCAGTCTTCAGGCTCATGTAAGATGACCGTGGTGCCATCAGTGCACCATACCTAGCAGATGTTCACACCACCAGGCTGGTGCCATGAGAGCAGCCTCTCGGCTGGAGCTGGAGCTGGTTTTCCTGCCTCACGTAGCCTCTCAGCATCCCAAAGCCCAGCCACACAAGCCTGGAGAGGAGGATGTGCTCATAAACACACGTGTTTCCATTCACCTCACTTATAAAATGTTTATATTCGAGGATCTGTCCACTGGGCCGCTGGGTCTCTCTACCTTTCTTGTGCAAACTCTTCCAGTTTATGAATACTATTTATTACAGCCCTGGTTTGAATTCAACCAGTAAATGACTGATACTCATTCCTTGGTCTTCAGAAGGTGAAACAACTGCAGTAGGAAAGATACAAGCATTTTATAACAGGGAAACCCATTGCTCATGGTTAATGCAGAGCCTGGAAATGAAAGACCAGGTCCATATTCCAAATCCGGTAGAACAGACCCAGATCTGGTAGAAGAGTCTCCTTATACAGTGAGGAGGAGCTTTAACCACTCAGAAAGAGATTCGCCTCAGATGGGAAGTCTATTACTTGTGGTTTTTCACAACCAGGAAAACCAGGCTTAGGTGTCTAAACATTAGAGAAGGTTCAAGGCCTAGAGAAAGATCCTGAGCCAAAAGAGGCCCAGTAAAGGTGGGTGCCCAGACCTTTCATCTGCTCTTAACTCTTAGTGCTTTATAAATTTCCCTGTTCCAGTGATGCCTGGGGCTTTCGGCTGTGCCTGTCAGTCCTATCCAACCATTGCTCTGGGGAACATGGGCACCCCCCAGGGAAACGGGCAGAGAGCTCAGGGCTTTAGCACTGCAGTGCTCAGCATCGCGATGCTCAGGATCTGTGCTGCCCTGCCCTAGGCATTTTTAATTGTGGAGTTCATCATTTAGCTCTTGTTTGCTTTATTACTGATATTTTAGGGTGAGCTGCAGGTCAGTGTGAGAGGCTGAGATCAGAGAAGGCTGCTGAATTTCTCAAATGGCTCTTTGCAGCCTGCCTGTCGGACCGAGGGAACAAAGAGCCGTCTGTATTGCTGTATAAGAAAACCAAAGTAAGAGCTCTCAGGGAAATTTATTACAGCTTTAAGAAACAGATTTCATTTTCTTCCACAAAAAAATAAATCTTTGGATCTGAATAAAAATCAATGGGATTGTGGCCTTGATCGCTTCTAGCACCTTTTAATTTATGTGTATAATTTATATAGCACGCTTTATATTTTAAAATAATCCAAAGCTACTCTGCCTCTATTTTGTTGCTTTACAACCCTTGATACACCTATTAAACAAATCTCTTAGTAGCTTCTACATAAACACGATAAGCATGGCATTGTAGTCACAGTAGTTCTTTGCAGGTACACATATTAACATTTCAATCTTAAAAATTAGTCTAAGGCACATTTTTAGTGGATTATAATACTCACTGGTGTCCTATTTCTGCCTTTGAGAAAAGTTTGAAAGTGTATTTTGTATCAATATTCTACTTTTTGAGCTTCCATACCTCCGGGTGACAGTCAAGTCACAGTAAGAGTTCACTGCGCAAGTCACAAACGTCTGAATGGACCTGTTGGGGCAGGTCCAGTGGAGGGCCACAAAGATGATCAGAGGACTGGGGCACCTCTCCTATGGAAACAGGTTGAAGAGGTTGGGGTTGTTCAGCATGGAGAAGGCACCAGGGAGACCCTATAGCCCCTTCCAGTACCTAAAGGGGGGCTTCAGGAGGGACTCTTTATCAGAGGGTGTAGTGATAGGATGAGGGGTAATGGTTTTAAACTGAACGAGGGGAGATTTAGATTAAATATTAGGAAGAAGTTATTTCCTGTGAGGGTGATGACACATTGGGACAGGTTGCCCAGAGAAGCTGTGGGTGCCCCATCCCTGGAGGGGTTCAAGACCAGGCTGGATGGGGCTTTGAGCAACCTGGTCTGGTGGGAGGTGTCTCTGCCCGTGGCAGGGGGGTTGGAACTACATGATCTTTAAAGTTCCTTCCAACCCAAATCGTTCTATGATTCTATGAATGATGGCCAGAAAGGAAGGGCAGAGGTTAGAGCATAGTAACAGTGTTTGTCAGAGACAAGAGGCACGTAACTGCCAGGAAAGCATGGGAAGATTCCTGTGTCCATACACAGGAGGATGACATTTTTTGAGAGTGAGACAAAAATCATGCGGTTAAGTGTTCATTCTTTACTTAGGTCATTCTTCTGAATAAGCATGGCACTTCTTAATATTACTGTGGAAAACTATGGTATTTTTGCACAACATAAACCACTTCGTTACTCCAATTAATTAAGTTTCCTATCAAGATAAATCTTTAACATTGTTACCAACAAGTCAGGAACAGGACATATGTCAGATACCGAGGAGCTCATCTTGTGGAAACAGATCCTTTAAAAGCCAGCTGCAGCTCCTAGGCAGATTTTTTCTGTCCACGTCATCAGTTGATTTATAGTTGCATTTCCCTATAGCTGTGGCTTTTACAATAATAATGGAAGCATTGAATATCTTAAAATAAACACCATTCACAAAATGTCAGACAGAGTTAGATAAACTTTAATAAAACTGTTCGGGAGAACTCTCTGGTTCACTGATAGAGTAAAATTCAGGATGTCCAGACGTACCCAGGGTGTAAACTTCATGATGAGAAGCTGATACTGAGACCTGTTTTCATGGGTTTCTGCAAGACTCTCTCCCACATGCAGCCAGCACAATCCTGGCTGCAGTCATGGAAACGCTTGGGTTGGAAGGGGGCATCTGGATCTCATCAGGTCGAAGCAGGTCCAGTTAAATCGTGTGGTTCAAGGACTTGTACACATAGTAGAATGGGAAAATTAACTCAGTCCGGTTTTAAGTTAAATTCTTGAAGAAGATGGTGATTACAGAGAGCAGAAAAATGTACAGGGGGTGAATCATCCTGTGCAAGGAGAGAGCTGAGGCTCAGGA